GCCGAGCCCAGCGACCCCAGTGGCAGTTCGAGTGGCTCCGGGGTGGCTCATTGGTTGGAATTCCTCGTCGAGCAGCGTGGGCCGCGCGGGTTGCGGTGGCGCCAGGGATGCGCGTCTAGGACTACAGCAGAAGAGAACACCGCACCCTTTGGCTAGCGGCCCTCCCTTTGGCGGGTCGTCGCCAGATGTCGCGGTGGTGGGCAGCTCCCGAGAGGCCATCCCGGTGCGGGAGGACGCATCGTCGCAACGTGAAGGGTCGGCCGGCCCTGTGGTGCAAGCGAGGGGTCGCCAACTCGTATAATACTCCGTACACGGTCCCATAATACCACTATAATACTTCATAATACCCGTAATACCCATAATACATCATAATACTGCATAATACCTCATAATACTCCATAATACTATCATAATAGAATCATAATACTCCATAATACGCTCATAATACGCATAATACTTCATAATATCCAATATTTTTTCATAATATGCCAGCAAAAACAAGAACTCTAATTTTGTAACCATTTTGAGCTGATGCGGACCCCCACCCTCATGCCCACCGTGACCCCTATTTTATGTGTTTTTTCTGCTCAAAATCTAGGCCATTTAAAGGTTTATTTTTTAATTCAGTTTCGCAGCATACACATGCAGCTAAACATCTAGCCGAGCAATATGTGATTTATAAGGCTGCTATGTGCTGGGCTGAATTTGCTGTACACTGTGAAGCCATTCGCAACTTTATTCCTTGTAAGTGTTCAACTCATAGTTATCACGTGAAATTGCTTAACTCAACAGTTTGCAGTTGCAAGTGTTTAAAAAACAAATTCCCCATGTGCGTACACTCTAACTTCAAGGATATTACCGTGTTTGAAAATTTCGGTGTAATAAGTGATTTTTTCATGTATATTATGCACCATAATACAAACATAATAATTCATAGTACTAAATAATACTGTATAATACTTCATAATACCCATAACGCATACTATTCATAATATCCATAATACCCATAATATTCATAATATTCATAATACCCATAATATATAATACTCCGTACACGGCTCAGGAGAGTGGGCGACCCCTCGGGTGCAAGGTGGAACAATGCGGCCCAGGGCGAATGTTAGTGGTAGCGGGCGGGGCGGCGGCCTTCGGCGCCCACCAAACTCAGGGCGAGGTCGAGCCCCGCCTCCGTGGAAATAAACAGATTGCTGAGTGTTTGTAGTCATTCCATTGTGGTGAATGGTCCATGGAGCCGGGGCGAGGAGGAAGCATCTCAGAGCAGCGTCGTCGCTGCACTGCCGCGGCGGACCTC